CATTGGCAATCAGTGTATTGTAAATAATATTATACTCAAAGTTTTACTTTTTATTTTCTTGTACACTCTTGCCTGCCTGTTCCCCAAAAGATGTGGGAACAGCTGAGAGGAAAACACAAAACCAAACCTACAGACTTACGTGCATGTATTCAGGGCGGTTAGTAAAATTGTTTCAAGGAACAATGTGTAATCACAACGGAAAGATGTGCTTCTGTGCACTTCCTGGGGTTGTGATGATTGTTAGTAATCTCATATTTGTAAAAATAACTGACATGTTGTTTAGATGAAATGAGTGTCAGGCCTGATGTGAGGAATTAGTACCTGCATCACCATATGAACTGCTCTTGCTTGCTTATGAGTCAGTTTTCTTAGAAACTGTAGCCTGCTCATGCATTCCACGAAAAACCTAAAGTGTTGCTCTAACTAATAGGATGGTAGTTTAAGTATCTAATAGGATGGTAGTTTAAGTATGTGGTGAAATTGTGACTTCACTGTGGATGCTGTGTGAATATCGCTTTGCAATAATGGAAAACTCAAGTTGACCATTTGTAATTGAGTATCGTATCAGTTTTATGAATGCATAAAGTTTTAAAGTTGAAACGTTTGGCAATGTGTTAAGAGCTACAATACCTTTAAAAATATTAGCTTGCTTTATGTAGAATATGGTAATTTGAAGAGTTTTTAATACAATATGAGTAACTCACTGATTTTAAAGCCTCATAAGTTTGAATAAGGTATATAATACCAATGTAGAAACAAGAAATTCATTTGTACAAAAAGTGCTAGTGGATGGTAAGGAGAGACCTGGCTTTGTGCTGCAACCCCACCTAACACAGTGCATCACAACGTGAGAACCAATGGAAGACCCTATTGCTTTGCAAAGAGAGATTGAACCTTCTCCTGCAATGCAGACTTTGCTAAAGATCTCAGCTATTTCGTTTTCTTATAGTAGCTTACTTTCAAGACTGCACGTACAGTGAATCCTGGGAGCAGAGGTCAGTTCTCTGATCAGATATCTACCAGTATGCAGCACTGTGGTGTGTATGTGACCAGGGGCAATCCGCCAAAGCATGGAGGAGAGCATGTGTCATTCTTTCGAGGGGCTTACAGTCCTAGAGATTCCAATGGCAGTCCACTTCACTAAAGAGTAAATCTTCACGAAACACGGCCAAGTTTCCTTGAAGTATTTTTTAAAATGCCACTTCTTGTCAAGACCTAATATTCAGAACTTAATTTCCAAATAACACTGAAACTTTTCTTCTTGCTATAAAAGATTGACAGTGGTAAGTAAATAGTAATTCTTTTATCACCTACATAATATTTCACTTTTTTATTTCAATCTTCACTATTTCCACCCACATTTCCTACCACTATTGCAGGAATGCTTTTGTTAGATAAAATTCTACTTGAAAATTCTAAAAGGCTCAGCTAGGTCAATTTACTTTTAATGTATAAGGGAAGTTAAAATTGTATCTCCTCGGATCCTTGGAACCTGCTCGCTTCCTTTTTCCTGTAAAAGTCATCACTCTTTGTAAATGCTCACTGTTTCTTTAGATAATGATTCCAACAAAGATTTGGGGCCACAATTTAAATGAATCATAGTGTAACTCAATTTGCACTTATTTTGCCAGTTTATATAGACATGTCATTCAGAACATATAGAAGTGTATGCTGCTAATTTACAATTCCAGGTGAGAGATTTGAAATGAAGATAATGAAATGAGTCTGGCCGAAACCAGTTTGGCTCAGTGGTAAAGCGTCTGTCTGTGGACTGAAAGGTCCTGGGTTCGATTCCGGTCAAGGGCATGTACATTGGTTGCGGGCACATCCCCGGTAGGGGGTGTGCAAGAGGCAGCTGGTCGATGTTACTCTCTCATCAACGTTTCTAGCTCTCTATCTCTCTCCCTTCCTCTCTGTAAAAAGATCAATAAAATACATATTTTTTTAAAAAATGAAATGAGTCTGTCCAGAGGCTTGTATTTACACAGGGCAAAGTGCCAGAGAGAGTGACTAAAACAAAATTGAGTACTAAAAGTTAAAGGAAAATAGGAAGTCTAGATTACTTGCTTGTCTTGCTTTTTCATTTATTTGGGACTTGTTCTTCCCCCAGCATTCCTTGTGATTTTTCACTTCTCTGTCTTAGCAGAGCAATCTGCATGTGACAGCTTCCTGTGTATGCTCACTAGTACTGGATACTTTCTCTGGACTCGTACAGTTTCTTTTGTGTGGATTTGTTATAGATATAAACATTTTAAAAATTTCAAGTCCTGCCCTGGCCAGTGTGTGTCTGTGGTTAGAGCATCGACCCTGGAACCAAAGAGTCTCAGGTTGGATACCCGGTCAAGGGCACGTACCTGTGTTGTGGATACTTAGTGTGTCTAAAACACTGTACTTTTCTGGTGTCATGCTTCTAGCACTTAGCAACATTGATATAAAATAACAAAAATATTCCATTGATATATCTATTTTCAAAATCAGTTACCAAATACACAGTAGAGGGACAATTTATTGGCAAAAATTTGTAAGTAAAAACGTTACTGAATGCCCATATGTACCTCAAAGTTTTTTGTTAGGTCTTTCACTCATCCAGGCCATGAATATTTATTGAGCATCTCCTTTGTGCTAAATTCTGAGACTGCATCAGTGAACAAAACAAACTTTCTCAGCTCAAAGAGGTTACATTTCCGTGCTTGGCCTAATTCCCCAAAGCCACACACTTATCTGTTTGTAAGTTGGCTAATAAAATTTTACCGTTGCATTGCTTTGCTGTGAATCATAGCATAGCTGAGGGGTACAAGGTGCTGAAAGAAAGCAGATGGGCAGATGGAAGGTGAGAGGGGGGAAGGAAAAGGAACAGTGTGAGGGCGGTAGTGAGGGAAGGAGAGAGGAAGGGAAAAGGTGGAGATGAGGGAATAAAAAGGGGCAGAAAGGACGACAAATGTGCACCCAACAAGCTTTTATGATTGAGCATCAGAACCCCTGGGCTGCATCCCACACTGCCTCTCCTAGAGGTCTGAGCTGGAGGAGATGACTTGCTCCCCTGTAACTATGCCTTCCTCACCTTTAAAGGGAGGATAGGGCTGCGGTAAGAATCTCATAGATAACATATGGGAAAACACTGAAACGTATAAACTGCTTTAAAATGAAAGAGATTATTATTATTGATATATATATTTGTATATACATATATATCAAAGAATGTAATTACGTATACTTCTTTCAAATGATATACAAGCATCGCAACATTTCCTGTTTGTTCTAAATAACGAAAAAAGAACATATAGTGGGTCACATGCGAGAGGCTACCCGTCCATGTGTCCCTCTCACAGCAGTGTTTTGGTTTTTTGTTTTCCCTCTCTCTCTTTCTTTCTCTCTTTCTCTCTTTCTCTTCTCCTCTCTCCCTTTCTTCTACTCTCTCTGAAAAGCAATGGGAAAAATGTCCTCAGAAGACAAAAAAAAAGAAAAAAAAAAAGATGTCAAGTCCCACTGGGCCTACCACCTATGACATATCAAGTCCTTACTGTTTTCTGTGTTTCCCTCGTTTTCTTGCAGATTTTATTTGTGAACTGCCTTCCCCTATTTTACATATTTCTGTTGCTGCATCTTTGGGATCAATCTGGATTATAGATTTTGAGGAGGGAAATCATGAGTTTTTCACAAATTATAGTAGCACTAACCAGTGGCTGACAGATGGCTTTTTTATATAACTGGATAGTGATTCACATTTCCAGGAAAATGTTTAATGTTTAATGTAGGACCCTGTTTCAGCTTCAAAGCAGAATATATCTTGTGATTATTTTTAAAGTTTTGTTAAAACATTGGAATAGCCCTAACCAGATTGGCTCAGTTGATAGAACATTAGTTTGCGGACTGAAGGGTCCCAATACTGGTCCGATTCTGGTCAAGGGCACGTGCTTGGTTGTGGGCTTGTTCCCCAGTAGGGGTGTGGGGGTGTGTGGGGGTGCTTCTCTCTCATCATTGATGTTTCTATCTCTCTCTCGTTCCCCCTTCCTCTTTGAAATCAATAAAAATATATGTTTAAAAAAAACACATTGGAATAAATATAATTGCTTAGATGGGGAGATCCATATTTGCATGCATGTGAGCATTCTGACCAGGGCAAGTTTTAAATCTCTAAACCCTCACTTCACTTAGGGCTCTGAAATGGTCTCTAATTCATAATGATCTTGTGATTCCTTAGTGATCAGGGGTTCTCCCAAGTATATTTCATTGTGGTTGAACTAAACAGTGACAGGCAGATAGTTTTTTGGAGCTACTGAGTTGTATATCAAGGATAATGTTTAATGCAGTGTCCTGAATTTAGATTTAAAGCAGAGTTTAAAAGTAGTTTTACTTAAACCCTGGCCGGGTGTTGCTCAGTTGGTTGGAGTGTTATCCTGTACACCAAAAGGTGGTGAGTTCAACTCCCTGTCAGAGCACATACCCAGGTTGTGGGTTCGATCCTTGATCAGAGCGTGTGCAGACAGCAACTGATATCTCTCTCTCTCTCTCTCTCTCTCTCTCTCTCTCTCTCTCTCTCTCTCTCCTTTCTCTAAAAAATCAATTAAAAATTAATAAAATAAAATCATCCAGTCAGTAAAAAAAATTGGGCTGGAGTCCAATCCAGGGTTGTCTAACCCCAAATCTTGTCCCCTTTATATATATATATATATATATATATATATATATATATATATATATATATCACACATTTCTTTTCATTGGAAAAAAAAACATAGTCTGGATAATGGCTTCTTCAAAATTCAATTTGAATTGGCCTATTTGTGTTGATTAAATTAAATGATGGCTAGATTTACCTTTCAGTTGATCCCATTGAAACAGAATAATAAAATGACTCTGATGTTACTTATCCAACATGAAAATGAAATTAGCATTGTATTTACATTTTATTTCTATTCCAACATGCCCCCAAAAAAACCCAAGGAGGATGGTTTGAGATTTCTGTTTTGTTTACCTATTCCTAATCCTCTGGTTTTTAGATTTGCTTGAAGCTGTGGAAGAAATCCTCCCCAGCCTCCCAGAAGACCTGAGTGTGTGGGCGGTAAGAGATTCTGTTCCACGAGGCGTGATGTCCCTCACAGAAAAACTGAGGACAGCATCTGACAAGCCAATGCCACGCAGCCACCACGTTGCCTCGAACCTCAAGACCCCGTCTCTTTATATTTTCACCTCCGGAACAACAGGTGTGACTCATTTTTTTCTTAATACCCAAAAGGAAAGCAACAGTGTTGGGCATATTTCTGCCATGAGCAATGGCATTAACTTGAACTTGGTCTAACTTTAACTCGGCAAGGCACCACGTTCACTTTTGATAGCACCAGGGGCCAAGGACTGTCCCGAGACTTGACCAGCTTCTTTGGCAAGATCTTGGCTAGCTTCTCTGTTCCTTAGATCCCTGGTATACACAATGGAGAGATTCGTTTAAATAGTTTCTAATCATCCTGCTGGATCAAAAAATCCCTTAGTCTACTTTAAAACCATTTTATATATTCTTGTTTAAAATGTTAAATCCTTAAAACAGTTCAGCTGTCGCTGCAATTTAAGTTCCTGTCCCTGGCTCTGCTGACTCTCCCAAGGTGACTGGAACATGTGACAAACAGGAAGTCTTGAAGGCATTGCAGGTTTGGGAGAAAATACAAAACAGAATCAAGTAACTAAACTCTCCCTTCGTTAGGTAAACAATATTAACATACACACACCAAAATTAATAATAATAATAATTAAACTGCTTAAGAATTCAAAAGATATGTTACACTTAATTGATTCTTAGGAAAAACCGAATGGTATTTCAGAGGCTAAAGAAGCGTTTGTAATTAGTTCAAAGATGACTGGGGGATTTCAATGAAACATATTAAAAATATTCTGTTACTAATTTCTTGTGCATAGGTGGTATGGGAAGCAAAACCATGATTGCATAAGTTTGTTTGTTTGTTTACTTTTTTCTTCTTTCCTTTCCCTTCCTTTTCTTTGTTGCTTCCTTTCTTTTCCTACATTTTATTTTATTTATTTTATTTTATCTCTACTTGGAACCTAACAATGATCTCTTTCGAGTTAGAGAGTAGACTATATTTTTACTTTGTTTACAAGCTTTGATAAATGAACCAGAAAATGCTAGTATGTACCAATTGGTCAGCATAAATCCAGTCTGGCTTGGACTTTGAAAGAGACAATGAAATTCTAGAAATGATCAACTTTGAAAAATTCCTGCAGAAGATTATTTACTGGTTTATCTTTATGACCGTGTTCTTGTAAAAAAAATAAATAAATAAATAAATAAAATAAAAAGCGAGTCTGGCCTTCAAACAATCTTTTCCACTGCTCCCCCTCCTCGGCCTCCTCCCAGCCTGAAGAGTACAGCTTTTGTTCTTCAGGATTAAAACCAGCGTGTTCTGTACATTTGCACAACAGGCTTAAAGCAAAGGCATTGCTATTTTTTCGTATGATATTTATTTGTATTGAAATGATATAGCACAGAAGTGAAAATTTTAGAAGTTTTAGAGTCTCCTTCACCAAACCAACTACACTGGGTACTTTTGTATCCTTCTTTATATAAACACCTCCATGTGTCTAAATAGAATCTTACTAGGCACATAAATAGATAGACTCTATAAAGCATCTGCTGATTTTCCTCATGGGAGGATGAGGGTTTTGTCTTCTTTTAGCCGCTCTCTTTCTCCACTCATTTCTTTCTCTCTTGAGCGGGCACTTTCTCTCCCCAGCATCACACTAATATGGTTTCACCATAAATTTTGACTCTGTTAGCATCAGTATCATAGCTTACTAAACACTATTTCTAGCTGAGCTCTACAGTGTAGCATAAGGATATTTCTTTCCTTTCCCATAAAACTCCCTCCGCCCTGAAGTTAATCACTGTTTTTGTTTGCTAGCCTGGTCTCTTATGCACATATAACTGACTCATGCTCACCCCTTTGTCACAAAGGTAACTCGCCTTTGAAACTGAAAGGATAGTCTGTGTTTTATCAGGCCCGTGATTTTGGCCATCTCTTTCCCAGAGCCTTCCTCACTCTACTTCAGTCTTGACCAGTCACTCTCTTATAGTCCTGGTTTCATTCTTCGCCACATTCCCAGGAATTTCCTTCAACTCGGCTCTTTTTTCTGACCCCCTGATTCTTAGATCCTAAGTTTGTTTCCTGGTTTACTTTTCATTTTGTCGTTGCCCTGCTTTCAGTAGCTGTCTGATAAAGAGCATTTTGGATGGAGGGTTGATCTTCACATGTCTGGAAATGTCTTCTTTTTTCTACCCTTACACTTGTTTGTATAGAAGCCAAATTAGAAATGATTTTTGTGCAGGAGTTTGAAGACATGCTCTATTATCTTGTGACTCTCAGTATACATATTGAGAAATCCTTTTCTTTCCGATTTCTTATTCTTTATATGCAAACTGGTATTCTTTTTCTTTCTTTTGAAGGATTTTTAGAATCTTTTATGAGTTTTCATTAGTCTGTAACATCCTAGTGACTTATAGGGGGACTGGTCTTATTTATCCTTTTTGCTGAGACATTTGCAAGCCTTTTTAGTCTAGAAACTCATGTCTTGCAATTATAGTTACTTGAAAAAAAAATTAAGTCCTACTTCCCTTCTCTTTCCTTTTCTATTTCTGATCTTCCTCCTCGTTCCCTTCTTCTAGAACATTTGCTTGTTTGTTTATTCTTTTATCTTTAGAACTATAGCTTTTGAAGATTGGCCCTCCTGGACTGAGTTATTAATTCTATTTTTTTTTCTATCTGTTTTCCTTCTCTTATCTTTTGATTTATTTTTTGAAAGATTTGTCTTCTAACCCTTGTATTCTCTTAATATTCCTTTGTTGGCTATTTTTGTATATTAATATTTTATATTCTCATATCTCTTTGAATATTACTTATAATAACTTTTTGAAAATTTATCCTCTCTACCTTGTCTTCATTTTCTTCACCATCCTTTTTTTTGGGTTTGATTGGTCTCTAGCCTTTACCATAAAGGATTTCCTCAAATATTTGGTGACTTTTGACTGACAGTTAATACTTAAAGTACAGACATCAGAACACACAGAAAACACAGCACATGCTGACTAGATGTCTCTGTGTGCCTGGTGGGACCTGTGTAGTGGGTGGTTTCATTGTCCAGGACACTTTGTTGGGGGATTTATGACTGTCAGTGTCTCAGCTTTTACTGAGGGCTATTCCGATTCCTCAGACAAGGATCTGGAAGGAGGAAAAACTAGGTAAGGGTCACAAGGGAGCTGGAGGAGCATGCAGACTTTCCCTTCTTCCCCCTATTTGTCCAGTATCTCTCTTTCCTGCTGTTTCCAGAGTTACCTTTTCCAGAGAATAATTCTCAGATCATCTACCAGTGTGGAGGAAGCAATCTGGGGCTGTAATTTTATTTTATTTTATTGAATTTTAAAACAAATATCAAAAGCATATATTGACATTCTTGCACAATTAGTTTGTGAATGACCTATTATGCAGGGAAAGTTATTTAAATATCTTCTTTTAGCTCAAAGTCCTGAGCACCATGAGGTCTTATTGAGGCCAGAATAGAGCAACATACAGAATTAGGCATAAAGAATTAGGTATTCATGCCTTTATGAATACAAAGCTATCAAAGAGTGTAACAAAATCACATTGAGCCTCAGTAAGGATTTGCTTTATATTTTTTTATAAAAAGCATTTCTCTTTCTCTCTTTCTAATATAAACTGACTAGAGTCCTGGTGCAGGAATTCATACACCAGTGGGGTCTCTCGGTCTGGCCTGCGGGATCGGGCCAAAACCAGCTCTCTGACATCCCTCCGAGGGGTCCCAGATTGTGAGAGGGCACAGGTACACGATCAGGGCCAGGGAAGGACATGGGAGGTTGGCCAGCCGGGGAGGAATCAGGGGAGGGCTCCAAGGCGTGTCCAGCCTGTCTCATTCAGACTTGATCAGCTGGACCCCAGCAGCAAGCTAACCTACCTGTTGGAGCATCTGCCCTCTGGTGATCAGTACACATCATAGTGACTGGTTGACCAGTTGACTGTCTGCCTCCTAATGGTCAGTTCACATCATAGCGAGTGGTTGAGAGGCCTTTGCATATCATTAGCATATTATACTTTGATTGGTTGAACAGACTACCAGAAAACCGGACACTTCGCATGTTAGGCTTTTATTTATAGGATGTTTTACAACTCAAACCCAGAACTGAATTAAATGATTGTAATGGTAATAAATATGAGAATTTACATCAATCAGTATGTCACCTAATATCATAAAAATCATTAGATTTTCACAAAAAAAATGAATGTATACTATTTGAAGAAAGTGTTGGTGCAAGTTAGGAAGTGATGTAGCAAGTCAGGATTTGAAAAGTTACATGATGGGAGTAGAGTCGGCCTACAGGCCCTTTCTATAGGTGATAAGGGAACCCTTATATTGATATGATATTGAATATTTCCTTACCATTCTTACTATCGCCAAGTCCTGATTGCCCAGGACCATGACAATATTATATTCTGGGACCCAGGAACAAATTCAGAGTGTTTTTGACTAAGAAAAGAATTGAGATCAGTATTCATACCATTAACACCTGTGGGACCTACAACACTATGTGATATCTTGATGAACAAGAGGTGAGATTTACGTATATAGATTCTGTGTCAATGTAATTGCTTCATATACATAATTTCTATAAAGCTCCCTGTTTATAGTTCCATAATAATCTTCTACTCCGTGAAGTAGCTGGTAAGCAACTTTCTGAGCCTTTTGTGGGGTTCAAAAGGCTCAGAAAGCTTCAAAGCTTCACCTTGGTTCTCAGGTTCTTGGGTGGATGGTGTCAGTGATCCATCTGCTTTCCTAAATCGTGTTGCTGTCATCTCTAATTCCATTTTTCATGCCTTGAGGGACTACATTGGCCGTGGTTAGGTAGCCTCAAGGATGTCTAGGAGAGACTAGACTTCATACCTATTACAGATGTGTGTGTTTTCTTTTCTCCCAGGTGTACCAAAAGCAGCTGTGATTACCCAGCTGCAGGCTTTAAAGGGTGCTGCTGGATTGTGGGCTTTTGGTTGTACCAGTGATGACATCATTTATATAACCCTTCCTCTGTATCATAGTTCTGGAGCTATCCTGGGAATTGGTGGATGTATTGAGTTAGGTAAGTTGTTATTTTCGGGTATGATACATCTTTAAAATTTCTAATAATTAGTATTTTTAAATTTTGAAACTCTACCAGTAGAATTCAGAATGGTTGTGTGCATATTGTGTAAATATACCATTTAATGATGTATACAATGTATTAAAAGCACACAATTTCGCCAAAACTGGTTTGGCTCAGTGGTAGAGTGTCAGTCTGCGGACTGAAAGGTCCCGGGTTCAATTCCAGTCAGGGACATGTACGTTGGTTGCAGGCACATCCCCAGTAGGGGGTGTGCAAGAGGCAGCTGGTCGATGTTACTCTCTCATCGACGTTTCTAGCTCTCTGTCTCTCTCCCTTCTTCTCTGTAAAAATCAATAAAATATATTTTTTAAAAAAAGAAAAAGTACACAATTTCATGATATGCTCAGTGTATTCCTGAAATGGGGAGAGTAGTGCCCCAGGAGTCTGGCCATGCGGATGGAGCTGGCTGTTGCCTGGGCTTTCTTCCCCATAGGATCGCTCCTCCTTTACTGGTCTACCCCGGCCTCCTTAAATGATGGTAGAAACCTTCAAAGAGAGTGAATGTGGAAGCTGCACAGCTCTTAGGGCTTACCCTCGGAAGTCACATAGATCATTTTACCTGCATTTTGTTGACCAAAGAAAGCCACAAGCCAATCTGGTTTCAGAAACTGAAGGGTTGGGAAATAGACCCTGTCTCAGGAAGGGGGCCATGACAAACTTACACTGGCAAGTTAAGTGTGTAATAAGAATTGCTGAGGCTGTGTTCACCAGCAGTGCGCCCCTGACACCAAATAAGTCAGTCGGTGGTGCATGGGACACAGTAGATTCCATTCATAAACATACTGAGGTTATGTGTCTGTGACCAGCTTGTCCTGAAATTATATATACACTAGAGGCCTGGTGCACAAATTCGTGCACGGGTGGAGTCCCTCGCAGTAGGCTGTGGGGATCGTACCCCAGCTCATGCCCCCAGGCTTGCAGGCCCACAGCCCTGCCTGGCACCACGCCCTCACCTACTCCACCATCCTGCCTCCAGGGCAATCGATCAGGGCAGGAACCTCCCCTCCCCATTCCCTACCCTCTGCCCAGCTCCTTCAGTGCCTGGGAGCTGGGAGGCAGCCTCTGCCCCCGCCACCACCGCTGGTCACCATCTGAAGGGCAATCAGTGGGCCATTAGGCCCTCACTCGCATCCACCTTGGCCTGGCACCACCCGCTCACCTGCTCCACCATCCCGTTGTATCCTGGTCCTGCTCTCATCAGGGACCATTGGGGCCTGTAGTGCCTCCACTGCTGCCCGCTGCCAATGCCACATCACTGATGCCCGCCATGTTCCACGCTGCCCCCTGGTGGTCAGCACATATCATAGCGAGTGGTTGAACTAGTCTCCCAGTCAAACTCCCAGTGCAATGACCACCCAAGGGGACAATTTGCATATTAGGCTTTTATTAAGTAGAATAGAGATCATTTACTTCTGCTTATATGTCTAAAGTACTTTAAAGTAACTTTTTAGGATCAATGTCTGCAGCAAGTAAAGATGAAGGTCAAATCATTAGAGCTTTTCTTTCGGACATAATCATGTGACCTACAGTAGCTAAAGTTAGGTTTTGCAGTCATCAGTGAGCTTTTTCTTGGAGCTGTCTTACTAACCCCCTTACTCTCAACCTCAAGATATGGACTGTAAGATTAATGTTTTTAAATGAGCTTGATATAAATGGCTACTGCTGGATTATAAAATCCCTTGAACTTTCTACATTGTACCCTTTTTTGCCTCTTCTTATAGGAGCTACTTGTGTCTTAAAGAAGAAATTCTCAGCAAGCCAATTTTGGAATGACTGCAAAAAGTATAATGTGACCGTGTTTCAATATATTGGAGAAATTTGCCGTTACCTTTGCAAACAACCTAAGGTAAGAGAAATCATTCTCATGGAGGAAAAGTAAATCCAGAAAGAAAAGTATTGAAAGAAAAAGTAATTTTTGTTTGTTATACTTTATCTTCTTCCAGAACATAGTTTAGCTGACTTACACAGATAAATGGACTTACCCCAAGATAAAATGAATGCAAAACAAATCAGAAAAAAAAATAAAAGGAGTGTTATGGAGGCATGTACTACTAATGTGCTCTATATTGTGGCAGAAAAGACAGACCCGCAATTCAGTTCACTTCACGTTTAGACTGTTGGCAATCTCCATGTACATAGCATGCATCTGATTATGAAAAGAGTTGCATGCTATGTTTACAAAAAGCAATTATTCCAAGGTTAAATTAAACAATCTTTCTAAATGCTGTTTAAAAAAAAAAAAACACAACTAACAACATGTATTTTACTTGTTTTTCTATTTTTGTTTTGTTTTGAAAAAGTGACTATAATAGAATATCTTTTTGCTTGTTTTTTCTTTAAATGTAAAAAAGAAATTTTGCTTTCACTTACACTTCTCTTCCCACCTAAAGCAATCATCCCCACAGAGTTTTGATAAAATGCCCCCTTCTGGAAGTAAACAGGCAGAGAATTGCAGCAGCCTGAAGTTTGTTTTTATTAATTTGTTTGTTTTTCTGCCTTCAGAAGTTATTTTTATTTTCCTGGTCTCATCTGTATTTCAAGATGCTTCTTTTTTTTAACTGTCTGAATTTCTAAACATTTTTGAGGATACAAAGAAATGACTCAAGTCAACATCATCCCTTGAAGAAGAGTGATAGAGAATTCTCCCCTTAGAGCCAGCCTGCCCTGTGCCTCTGAGAAACCTCCTTTCTCACTCATCACCTTTGCCGTCATCACGCCAGTGTGAGGCATAGAAGGCGGGCTGAGATGTATTCTCTGGCCAGCTAAAATAAGGAATCCTTCCTTTACCCACAGCACAGCTGAAATGAGATTGCAGACATTTATATAAAACTTTATTAAAGATATGGGATTACACAAGGGCCATAAACACAGAAAAAAGAATATGACACTGAATAATCTTACTGACAAAATGCTTTTATTTATCTTAAGCTTGACGTTTACTAGGGACAGGCCTCCTGTTTAACGCCTGGCCTACTGCCTTTGGCAGAAGCCTGCTATCTTCACTCTGTTTGTTTGGTAAGGAGTGCTTCAGCAGCTATGGATTTCCTGGAGCCATAGCAAAGCTAGGGAGTCCCAGAGAAATCTTTTAGATGGTTTTTAACCTTTATTCTCTTCAGGGGGATTCCCTTTATCAGGATTGTGATCTTACCTGAAGAGTCCCAATGGAAGCATCATAATGCCACAACCTGGCATATTTTCTCTCCTAGTTTTCATTGTACTCTTCGGTAATATGATCTCCGGACTGAGTTAATTTAAGGAATTAATGTCCTGCAGTAAGATAAAGGCCATGGCACATGGTAGGCACTATCTAATGAACCTCCCCCACGGCCTTTCTAACTGTTCCCCCAGCCACTCCTATTTCCTCTCAGCCTGTAATAGAAACATTAGCTTTTGCAAGGTCCTTTGCTCACTAAGTAGTAATTGAATGGTTGAATACATGCATTTATTATTGTCCTAAAGCTTTACCTTCTTGCATAATGCTGCAATTAGTATCTTCATGCAATATAGTTGGCACAAGGGTCTCAGAAGTGAAAGTAGGGGATATCTAGCGGACATGGATATTTTGGTGATTTTTATGGAATATTTCCAGATTGCATTTCAAAGTGGTTGAAGTGAATCTAAACAATGTGGAAATATGCCTATTGCACAGTCTTTTATCAGTACTGGGGGCATCAAAAATAGTATGCTAGAGAACTCAACCCTTCCTGAAGCTTCCTCAAAAGTGTCTGAAGGGAGGAAAAGGGGAAATAAGCCAGTCCTGATGGCCCACCCTTTCAAATAGGGTGGATAAAGCCCAATTTGCTTGGGTTTCTTAATAATAGTTTATTTTAACAAAGAATGTCTTAGGTTGTTTTGTGTGTTTTTTAATGGGGAAAAGATTATTTAACTTTATTTATAATTTTATAGGCTAGAAATAAGCATATATTTAATCTATTAAGATTACTGGCAAGGTATGATAGTGTTAATAAAGATATTAATAGTTTGTCATATTTTCTATAAATCTTCTTTAAGGTGTTTTCCTTTGAAGTTTTTATGAAATGAAATTTCTTTTTTACCTCTTTGAAGTTGTAATGCACAAATTTTGAGGAAATGAGATAATTTAGAGAACTGAGCATTGAAAAAGAATTCCTGACTGCTTCAGTTAATTAAATATTTTAATTCTTAGATAAGTTATTTGAAGGAAAAGATGGTGTTTGTAAAATAATCTCTAAGCGCTTACTTGTAAACAGGAGCAAGGGAAATAAATATGGCTTTGCCCGAAGGAAAGCTTAATCGTTTTTCCTGAGCAGAGATGCATTGTATTCCTAATCTCTTTGTTGGGCTCACACAGAACAAGTACAGGCAGTTCTTGGCACTAAAGTTTAGGCAAAGGGGAGCCTTCTGTCATGACATCTTATCTTTTTAAGAACTTGCTTTTTGCTGCCCAGTATTCATTCCTTTCAAAGAGCTCCTAGGAAGTGGTCGGCCTACTGTGCAACCAGAACAGCAGTGGCTTCGGGTAGGGCCAGAGAGTGAACAAGTGATGTGGTCTACACCCTCAACGAACTAAAATTAATTATCTCATAAGCCATGGTTTGAAGTCCCATAGACATTCATTTAAAATAAATGCTTAAGTAAAATAAAGCAAAACCACACATTCTCTGAATAGATCCAGATTCGTTGTAATGTCAGGGTAAGTAATATATTCCAAAGGAGATTTACCTGCAAGGAAAATCAGTCTGAGTTGAGTGTTTATATATACTAGTAGATGTTTAGAAACGCCCTACACCAAAACCGGTTTGGCTCAGTGGATAGAGCGTCGGCCTGCGGACTGAAGGGTCCTGAGTTCAACTCCGGTCAAGGGCATGAACCTTGATTGCGGGCACATCCCCACTGTGAGGGGGTTCAGGAAGCAGCTGATCGATGATTCTCTCTCATCGATGTTTCTAGCTCTCTATCCCTCTCTCTTCCTCTCTCTGAAAAATCAATAAAATACATTTTTAAAAAAACACAAAAAAATTCCCTAGGATTGGCTTTCCTTGGCAAAAGTATTTATCCACCCCGCATCCAATCACGACTTTTTTCTCGTTTTCAAAGCTCCGGTTGCAAAAGTTCCTTTGGCATAAACACTGGCATAAACATTTGGCATGTTTATGCCAAACTGGTGGCAGCAGCACTGTCCTTTCAAAAAACAACAACAGAAAAAAACAACCAGGGTACTGGCTCCTCTTAGTCACAGAGCAGTGAGGTAATTAGTCTCACTAGTGTGGGCGGGGTCTAATTTTAAAAATCACGCACATGTGTGAAGCCTACTTTTCAAGCTAATATCATACCTTATCATTTAGGCTATGGACAGGGTGTCCCATAAAAATGTATACACACTTTAACAGCTGATAGCTCCATGTTGAAAATGAAGTGTATTTTAATAAACACTGCCTTTATTATAATTATTCAAAATGTGTGTGTACATTTTGGGGGACATCCTATACATATTTTCTGTAAATTATACCCCCCCCCCTTTTTTTTTTAATTCTGTTTTCTTAAAATCTGAGAGATTCACGGGGAGCCAGGAAGGATCCTTATGACTCTGGATTATTTTGTTACGGTGCATTAAAACTTAGACAAAATGAGCCCGGCCGGAGACAGACTGACCACAGTGGCAGGGCCTGCTCCCAAGAGCCTCATAAAGTGGTTTCATCGTCGTGAATGTGCCGAAGCTGAAGATAGTCTTCAGCCCGGCAGGCTCACAACCCCCTCTAGTCAGGGCTTGTCTTTAGACTAGACTCGCATAAACCAGGATCAAAAATGCCAGTTTATCGCTTTCAATTGTCTCCATGGCTCAATCTTCCTCAATTTTTCTCACCTCTAGTGTTTGAGAGCCCGGGACTCCACAATCATACATTTCTCTCCTCTCTTTTCTCCTTCCCTGGACACGTTCCTGGCAGCACATACCTTCCACAATCCAATTCTACATCTCCAGCCCAGTCTTCTCTCTGGATTTCAGGTTGTCTATGTCTGGATTCCCACTTAATCGCTTCACTTAGAAATCTCATTGACGTCTTCTGTCAAAAACGGCGAGGGCCTAACTTTTCACCACCTCCATTAAAATGTCCTCCTTGCCACCCTGACCTTCTCAGTTAATGACAACTCCATCCTTCCAGGTATTTATTTAGTCACAAAGCCTCTGGGATTCCCTTGAAAAAAAATTTTTTTTTTCTCACACCTCTAATTCATGAGCAAATCTTGCAGATCCTACTTTCAAATATATCCACCGTCAAACTTCAATCTACCACTACCTGTTACTCTCATCTAAGTCAGCACTACTTCCTGCCTCTAATTTTAGTAATAGCCTCTTCCTTACTCCACATCTGGAATAGTAGTTGATATGATTCTATTAAAATGCAAGTCAGATTATGTCACTTCACTACCCAGATCCCTCAGATGGTTTACCTGAAAGAAAAGCCAAATTCCCTTAGCATGGACCACACGCTCTAAGTAATCTGCTCCCCTGCTGGGACCTCCCCTGACCCCCGTCCCCTCCCCTACACACTGTTCATGCTGCTGCAACCTCACCGACTTCCTTGCTTTTCCTTCAAGGCACCAGGACTGCCAGTTTCAGCCCATTGAATGTTCCCCCAGAGATCTGCGTGGCTCGCCCTCTAACCCTCCTAGCCAGTGCCTTGTCTGGCCACAACCCTTATTGATGTCCAGTGTGGTCAGCTTACCAACTCAGGTGGACTCCAAACGCTACATTTGTTCTGTTGATGCCACCAGGAGAATATGAGAGGCTTATTGCTCACATGACAGGGCATTCTGGGGAAGGCAGGGTGGGATCCCAAGCATGTCCAAAAACAGCTGGAAAGAGAC